TGCCAGCAGTTTATGGGTAGAAACAGAAACAAATCACTGCTGTCGGATGAAACCTCGTATCTTCAAAATGGTAACTTTACAGGAGAAGGAAAAACATACTTTACTTATAATGCAAGTCAATGGAACTGGAATTTTTTCCAGGTCATTTTTGGCCATTCCCCTGGTTCTTTCATTATGAAATTTACACACGATGTAAAGGGCAGCAGGCATTTTCACATTATGTCAAAAACTGAAAAACATCAAAAGTGGAGATGCGAACTTTTCATCCGACAACAGTGATATACATAAATGTACCAGATGCAGAGTTACAGATATTACAGGTACAACTTGAAATACGTTTTATTTGATATCTCCTGTAAGGTGTTTTTATATAACGGATAAACTGATGTGCCAGATTTTTAGAGGAGTGACTTAAATTAGCCCATATCGTGTTTCTTTCCAAGGAAGGACCAGTACAGGAAAGCTCTTGTTCCCAGAGTTGTTTACCTGGCAGCTGCTTTGAATAATAGTGTACCAACGACACTCTCCCCCGTAGGTTGTCCAGAGGTCTTTTCCAGTCTATCAAGGGGTGAGAGTTGAGAGTGTTGCCCCAGGGAACTCCATAGGCTCACAGTTCAGAACGTTCTAGATACCTGTCTATGTAGGTTAACATTGCATATCCTCCTCCTCCTCGGCGACGGATAAAGAGCAGCGACTCTCTGTTAAACTATAAACAATGTACACCACATGATGGGAAAGTGATCAACAGTAGCAAGTCAATTTTATATTGTTCCAGATAGCAAGAGGGCCTCAGTTGGCCGAGCGATGGGAACGTTGGCGGCCCGCTGGCTTTTTGCTCAGTGTTTTTCAGGCGACTCGCTGGTGGTTAATCAGAGCGTTACCCTGCGTTCACACCGGCAGCGACTTCTCACCTCTTGTCGCCCAAATCGCTGATTGCTCATCGCCTGTGGGCGTTTCTGAACTCAAACGTTGTTTGCCATGGATTCACTGACGCCAAGGCCAAATCAGATGCGTTCAAGGTAAAAATAAAAACCCTGGTGAGAAACCACTTGTGTGCTTATTTTTATTTAATCCCTGTGTAGTCTGTATGTGAGGAAAACTGTTTGGTCTTCGCGATTACTCTCTATTTGGGGACGAAAGCACTGCCGCCATCTTTCCATCTCTAGTAGGAACAATTATCTATGAACCAAAAATAAGAGCGAACCGGTTTTACAGATAGAGCACGTACTACGCTGCTCAGTTAGAGCCAGTTTATGTGGAGTCTGGCCTCTTCCTATTTCCCTCGTTATATCAAAAACATGATTTCAAAACAGTGGCCGCCTCAATGAATGGCGGAGAATGGAGCTAAGCGGCTAAACACGAAAAGTTAAAATAGTTTTAATCACTCGCCCAGAACCTTTTCTTTCATTTTAGAAAGTAGAAGGATGGATTTCACTAAAAACACAAAGAAAACTCACCTGTTTCCTTTTTTCTACAGCAAACAGGTTTTGGGCAGCAGGTCGCTAACATTACTGCTACTGAGTGCTGATTGGTTGGCGAGCGGAGCAGCTCATTGGCTGTCATCACTGACGTTATGACCATGCATGAGGCGCCGTTTTAATCTCCTATAACTCGAGTTTAAAAGCTCTTAAAAATATAACAGCAGTGTTAAATTATTTTATATTAAATATTACAAATATTTATAAACTATGATTTTGTTCAAATGCTCCATCTTAACTCATTCATTTTGAACTCGCTCAGGAGCGCCATCTAGCGTTTAGAGAAACCCGAAGTCATTACAGAGTGGTAATTCTCCTCTCTACAAGTTCTCTGGTTAAAGGCTTAATTACTGTTGGTCATCGTCACATCGCTTCTCTCCTTATTTCCATAAAGTTAAACTCCACTCACCTTTGGCGCCTCGCTGACTCCACCCACTTTGCGTTGCCGACGTTCATGCTAGCTCTTGTCGCCTGAAATCGCCAGCTCTCATTGAAAATGAATGACATTCGGCCACTTTGTCGCATCGTGCCGCTGCCAGTGTGAACGCAGCGTTAGACAAAATACCATTGTGGCCACTGATTTTCCACTCACAGTCTAATTTACTTACTCCTTCATTTCGTTCTTCAGCTGTGCTTTGTAAATTACTTTAGTAAATCATTTTAAATGAGCTCAGTGTCATCGATAACATTTTCAACCAAATCATTTAATACGAGGCCTAGTCATTCACTTTTTTCTCTCAGTTTTGTTTATAATAATTGTCAGATTTATTATTTTCCAAAATAAAAAAAATTGCTTATTTTCCAAAATAAGAGTCTGTGTGCTTTTAAAACCAGTTTGAGGAGATTATTAACTAGTTAAACCTTGAATGCAGGACAGTAATCTGGGTTAACACTTCACAGTAAACAGTTAACAGCTAATTGAACAGCTGTGCTCAAATGTAATCCACATAAAAACAATAAACGCAACGCAAACAGAACCTGCTTTCACCTCTGGTGTGAAATGATAAGCATCGCGGAGGGGTCTCAGCTTCTGACGCTCACCCTCGCCGCCTCTGGTGTGAAACTGGCTTTGGTATTGATCAGCGTTGTGCTGACTGTGTACCTAAACCATTACTCCAGCTTCAAACCGTGTGGAGTTGTTCAGTATCTCTAATAGACTTGATTATGTGGTTTCTGACACTGCAGGACATTCTGTTATTATTTAGCGTAAACAGTCCAGGATCTGTAGCTGTGACTCTTAAACAGGGAACGTTTGCTGATTGTTTGTAGCTGTGTTTATCAGAAAGCTGAGAAGTTTGAAATTGAATTTCGGTTGACCTGTCTGTGCTTCGCACATTGCTAGGTGGGACAAGCTTTACAGAACTGTGGTAAAAATCAAGCCACCTTGATAGCCACAACATTTCATGCCCATTTTATTGAAGTAATGTTTCACGATCTTGGCTTTAAATATGTCTCGGTATGTCCTAATGTACTAGTATAGGCTAAAACATCTAAAATTATATAAATATAAAATATAATATAAAGAATAATATAAAATATAAAAAAATAATATAAACAAGAACACAGACTTACTTTTCTCTGCTTTAAGCTTTAGCTCAGGAATAACCGCTTTTCTCACATCTCCAGCAGGAAACTTTTCCACAAAAGTAGAATATTTTCTTGTAAAATGTCTCTCAACATTTGACTTTTATGAGGTTGAAGTCGCTTCTCATTCGCCAGATTCTTGTTCAAATTTTCCTGTTCCACCTTAAATGGTGCCTGAGGTGCCTGAGTGTAACTGCTGCACCATTTAAGGTGGAACGGGCAAATTCGAACAAGAATCTGGCGAATGAGAAACTTTTTAGTGTTTGTCAGTTTCTCGTTGCAGATTAAACGTATCAGGAAACCAGCTGGAGTTGATTATAAATGCAGACAAGTCCATTTGTCTCCAAATTATCGATGTTCATCTTAAATTTCTCTCTTTGCCGTTTCGTTAGCTACTAGCTAGGCAAGACTGTTGTCTGTGTTGCTATGGTGACCAGCAGTCTGCGCTGATCTTCAGGGTTAAAGGGTGAATTAGCAGTTCTACATTAACTCCAGAGTTTAAGACCATTTATTGTTAAACTGTGTTGAACGATCAGCAGAGCTTTATTTTACTGTAAAGGAGGATTATTTTATTATTACCTACAAATCTAATTCAGCTGTGGAGCCACAACAGGACAGTAAAAGAGCCGCAGGTTGCCGACCCCTGAACTGTGCTAACACACACTGTAAAAAAAGGTCTTGACTTTAAAAAATACTTCATGTGGCAACAAGTAAATGAACTAGTTTTATTCAACCTAAATAAATACCTTGATGAACGATTCTTTCAGTCTGTGTAATTTTTTGGTGAATCGAGTTCAGTTGCCCACGTTACGTTCTGTTTGTTACCGTATGAAGTCATTTTTTTAGGTTGATCTGATGAGCCATTTTTTTACAGCGTATACATGCAAAATAAAAGTCATTTGAAATGAACACTCTAAATGTTACGGAAGTCCAGAGAGACCAAGAGTTGTTGCTGTAATTTTCTGGATTGTTATCTTGAGATAACAAGATAAGTAACATGTTTTTTCAAGATAACAAAGTTGTTATTTTGAGATAACAAGATAAGTAACTCATTATCTCAAGATAACAACTTTGAGATAGACACATAACAACTTTATCTTGAGATAACAAGCTAAATAACTCTTATCTCATGATAACTTTATCTTGAGATAAGAAGATATGTAAATTGTTATTTCATGATAACAATTTTGTTACCTTGAGATAACAAGATAATTAACTCGTTGTCTCAAAATAACAATGCAGAAAATGATAACTACCTCATGGCCTCTCTGGACGTCCGCAAAATGATGATGTTTTGACAAAACTGCGTTTCTCATTAGTTTTAATTGGATTTTGCCAGCTTTCTGTAAACCTTGTCTTTGGTTGTCAGACGTAAAAATCTGTGATGTGAAAAAATGATCTTAGCATCTTCTTTTTTGCCCTTAAATGACCAGATATGAGGGTGATGGAAAGCCAGTCTGACGTAAAGTGGTTAAAATGACCCGTGTTGTATCATTTAAGTCAACCGAATAATTGAGACGATAATTGAGACGCTTGAAAGTAACATCTCTCCAGATGCCGCGAGCTGTTTAATATTGGTGGTTTTGGTGTTTTGTTGAGTAAGTTCTTTTCAGGGGTTTAGTGCATTTACAGCTGTCATTAGTTACGTGATGTGAGCTAATTGGCCGTAAGTCACAGGCTTGACGTTAGTGTAGCGCAAGCTTTTCTCTACAGTGACACTGTGAGGCAAATATTTGTTGATTTGTGGACACAACCTGCAAAATCAGCTGCATGCAAACAGCTTAGTGGGCATTTTCAGAAAAATGCCATCAACTCTGCAGAACCTGCCTGACATTTAAACAGGGGTCGTATGCAGGTGTGCTGGGAGACGTATTATGTCTACATATATATTTGCTTATTTATGTATTCATGCCTCCTTTTTATCTCTCTCGTCCTCAG